CCCCAAAACCCCAAAACCCCAAAACCCCAAAACCCCTAAGTGAAAGTAAAATGGCTTCTAAAATTTGATGAGTGAATAGCATTTAACAAGTAATATAACTTAAACTTTATAAACCATTTATATTTTCTATTGATTCTCTTATAACAAAGCTAAGATTATTGCTATTGAGCATATTTTCAATCTTTGTAATATTTGATCTGCTCAACATAGTCGTATTCATCCATCCTAAGAGTATCTATACTTTAATCTATGCCCAGACTAGAACTAGCTCCAACACCTTCATATTCATCTCTATTGTGGAATATATTTTAATGATGTTTATCATCTACTTCCTCCAAGATATCCTCGTCGATTTCATCATAGAAGTCATTGCGCTTATTTTGATTTTGACCTGGAAACTCAATTTTGTTGTTTGTAAGCTTTTGATCCTTTTACAAAATCTAAATAGGTTCCTTATTATCATTTTATTCTAAAGGTTATGATTGAATTTGCCTGAGTTATCTGATTAGATGAACAAGCAGAGGAGCTGAGGACTCCTATGCCTAGGGTGGTTTCAATGAGGCTTTTTTGCAAAGATCCTCTCTTTATGGGTTCTCTTGGTTTGATAATGCTACCTCAGGCAAATATACTGAGAGAGAGTACTCCATTCTATAGAATTCTAGGTATTCTCTGACAAGTTGAGCAAGTAGCTTACCCTCCTCTGACTCATGAACCTTTTAAGCAGGCACATTTTGCATTTGCTGCTATTGATTGCTGCTACTTGACTTAGAGCCTGGCTCCATTTGTTTTTCAATAGCCTTATAAACTCGAGCTCTGAGCTATGTTCGCAAAGAGGAGAGAGTACCTTCATTTTCAAGCGACTAAATTACTAAAGTCTTGAGGTCTTCCATTTTATTTCTAGGGATTGTAAAACCAAAGGAGAGTTAAATTCAAAATTAAATTCAATTATCTATGCATTGATGGTTTGCCCGATTTTATTTCAAGGGGTTTTGGGGTTTTGGGGTTTTGGGG